TACCTGTTACCATTGTTACCAAACCGTTCCCCAGTTGTATGCAGACAATGGGCCTTGGTATGAAAGACAACATGTATGTGTGTGTGTGTATGCGTGTCGAGGCATTTCCACGGGTTTGGATTCAGAGCTTTTGTATCTTGTGCTTTAAGTGACCAAAACATCTTGGAATTAGAAAGCTTTATTATTTTATATTTGTATTCATTGCATTCACTTATACAGCCCTGTAGAACACACAGTTTTTAGAGTACCTCAAGCTGTACCGTTTCTTGAAAGCTCCACGTCTGGGTGTGCTGCATGTGTGTAATGCACACAAAGGTGTGCCTGCTCTGCTTCCTGGAGGCTTCAAAATCTGGAATCGCTACCTACAGATAACTGGTGGGCACAACCCCTATTGTATTTTAAAACTTTTTGCTCCAGGCAGAAGCAAGTGGTTCCCTTTTGTGAAAGCTGAAGTTGAGAAACACCGGGGAAATGCCTGTGCTGTGGTCCCACTGTTCCTGCCTGCGTCAGCTTCTCCTTTTTTCAGTTATTTGAAGAATACTTCATTTAAGAAAAATGTGAAGTATGCTGGCAGTCCGTTTTGGCAGTCTACACAGGGTGTTCTGGCTGGGGCCGTGGTTCGTGAATCTCCTGAGCAAGTAACTCGGGTGGTGGGGGGGGCAGTTGCTCCTCTGCTTCCGAGAGGGGTTCCTGGGACTCGCCGAGATCCCCGCTGGGATCCCCGGTGGGTTCCCCGAGCCAGTCCGGTGGAGGTGGCAGATCTGGGCCCTCGGGTGGCGCCGCCGGGAGAGGACAGGAGGCCTGGGCGCAGGCTGCCGCTTCCATGGCGGGAGGTGGAGATGCCTCTGCGTGGGCCGCGGCCGGACTGGCTGCAGAGCAGGGCCCGGCCGGAGGCACCGGGCTCGTTTCCGTACCGGCGGGGGGGGGGATGGTTTCTCTGGTGCACTGGGATCGTGCTGTAGGCATGTGTCTTGTTTCCATTTCCAAGGCAGCATGAATAAAGTTGATGAACGTTTGGTAGCCTGGTTGGAGTCCATGAAGACATCTGGTACGTCTCCGTCTGCAAACGGAGACCGGCCTGCCCAGTGTGAATCGGCTAGAACCGGCCTCCTGCAGCATTTCCACAGAAGAATGACGATAATGGCCACTATCATGCTAACCAAGATGATGCCAATTATCAGCGCTGCTATCCAGCTTCCCTCGCTGGGTTCTGCCTCTGCTGTGGGGAACTGAGGCGGTGGCGTGACTGTCAGTGCTCTCCCAGACTTGTGTAAGCCGGGTCCAGTTGCTTGCAGTCGATACAGAGGAGCTTTGTCTTCTATCAGACCCCTGATACCGGCGTATGGATTTCTTTTATTCATGGAAATGCTTTGAGGTGTTGCTGTAGAAAGTGATTTCCAGATTTCGCCGTAGAGGAGGACCAGGATTACTTGGTTGCTGGCCATTTTCCTGCAGCCTCTTTAAATGTGTCCGCTCCTGTAGCAGGAATGAAATAGAACACACTGACTTGAAAACTGTGTGTTGTATGGCTGTGCCTTACCGACACCAGACAACTTTATTTTAATACTGTAGTAGTGGAAAGAATTTAGACCCGTGTTTAAAATTTCATGCCTGTTTCCATTTTCCAAATCAGCAGGTTTGTCACTGACTTCACAAACAAGCAGATTTTCAACCTGATTGATCATTATTGACTTTTTTGAAGAGTGTGTCTGGATTATTATTATCTATCTTCACCTTATCAGAAAAAGACATCAGCAGAGAGGGTCCTAACAGTGATTAAAAATAATATTTATCAATTATGGTACGTGGTTATGGACCTGGAACAAAACATGAAACGCTCGCAGCAGTATTGACAAACAGGATTGTCCTGAGTAAAGAAACCTCTTTTGATGGATATGAGCCAAGACCGAAGTAAAAGAAAAGGCTCTTTACAGTTCTCTTAAACTTTTGGTTCCTGTTCTTGCCTCTCTTGAGGAGTTACGGATAGAGCATAATAATTTTTCAAGTTTCCAAACACAGATGCTGTAGTGGAACGACATTCTCCTGTTAAACTGTTTTTATCAATTCCTGCACGTGGAACACTTTCTGTAATGGAGAAAGTTGTGTTAAGCTGTTAGCATGAAGCAGATTTTTTTTTTTTTTTCCCTGTACTGTTTAGCGTTCAGGTCTCTGAATGTCTCCACATGGAAAAAAAAAAAAAAAAAGGTATCAAATACATCCTCTACACAGCACTTTTCTATCTGAAGTTACTTTTGTGCAGTTTAACCTCATTCATTAGTTACTCTAATGCTCGTCATGTGAAGCTGTTTCTGGGAAATTAATATGCATAACGCTTTGTGAGTTTACAGCTATGCAAAACGAAATTGTAAACACCTATGAGTAGTGAACTAATGCTGCTTGAGAATGTTATCATCTAAACTCTAAGGTTTGTAACAGGTAAAAATGATCCAATTTAGTTTTCTCCTGCTCCCCTCTTCAAAGTACAGTCAGATCATACACCTGATAGTTCATAGAGACGCCGCCGGACAACGTGTGTTTGAAACCCAAGTACTTTTTAAGATACAGACATTCAGCAAGAGCTTTGAATACACCCTGAAGTCCGGGCACACACAGTGCTGCACACAGTGCAGTTCCCTTTCAAAGCGAATAATACAAATATTAAGCCGTTCCATCTTGAAGTCGATTCTTACCTGCACATTTATCTTCTGTCAAGCAAGCATCGTCTTGCTTTTTTTGTTTGAAGCCTTAGGAAGACGGACCGTGTGCTGAAAGTGAAGCAGCTTAAAATGGCTCGTTTCATGTTGAAGTAGGTTTCTGCAGTTAAAGAGGAAGTTTACCAACGCTTGCCGCAGGAAGTGTCAAGAGTGGGGAGATTACAAAGAGCCTTATCTCGGAGCTTTATGAGCAAACTTCTCAGCTCTGTTCTCGTTACAAAAATCAAATGTTGTGGCTTTTGTTTGGTATGTGCCTGTTATGTAGAAATTCGTAAATACTTGTTTGCCTCTGTTAAAAATACTTCTAGTTACTTCTGTGTGAGTCAAAAATTATGCAAGATTGGATTTGAATCTTACTGATTTAATTTCAGTGGTGGGTTTGGGGCATGGTCGTGGTCATTAGTGGAAAAGCAACCTGAGGTTCATTACAGTGAGTCATAGAAAGCTGCCTGATCGCACAGGGCTGGCTTGCTTACGTATCTTCATTTGTGTCGTTGTGTTAAAAGGCAGATAACTACAGATTTCATCCTTCTGCCCTCTACTCCATGTTATTTTTCTCTCTGGACAGCTGTGATACCTGCTGCCATCATTCGTGGAGGGCTGTGCTCTCTGTCCTTACCCTTTAGTGTAACCCAAACTACTTTCTTTTGTCTCCTTGAGCATTTTTGCCTGGAAAGGCTGCCTGGCAAGGAGAGACCTGCACAAATATGTCATTGCAGCATTTTGCAAGTGTGTTCTGCCAGAGCCAGTAGCTACTGCCAGATCCTTCTGCAGCTTCTTCATCTCCTCCTCTTCCTGTCATGCCTCTTCTGATCACACTAGTTCTCGTTTTCAGATTCTCCCTGCTCCTGCAGCAAACACAAATCCTGATCCTGCACTCACATTATCACTCAGAGTTGCTTGTGCAGTTCCTTCGTCTCATCCCCATTCTCTTCAGCCCTCAGTCCCCACCTGTCTTTTGCCACACTTCCCTCCTCACTGACAGTTCTTTTTCCTTCCTGTTTTTCCTTCCTCCCTCCCACTGCTATGATCACGATTCTTTCCATTTTTGCCTGCTTTTTTCCTGACACTGCAGGTTCACCCCTTTAACCTGCTGCCTACTGACAACTTGGAGTGTTCCTGTATGCAGACCAGCTAACTCTCTCCCGTTTTAATTCCTGTCCCTTCCCCGCTGTGAGCAGTTTTACACCAGGTTAGATTCACACGTTTGCTGTCTCAGATTCCTTTTTTTTAGCACAGGCTCTGCTGTTGCCTCCTGTTCTCATGGTCATTTTGTGGAAGGAGCGGGTGACTGCAGTGCAGCATCCCCCAGCCCTGCTCTTCAGCTCTCTGTCACCAGTGCGAGATGCTCTCAGTTATCTCCAAGTACGGGGTTGTCATCACTGATCTGTCACACTTTGCCCTTCTCCTGGCCTTTCTCCTCCTGTTCTAGAAATGTCTGACATAATCCCTCGGCCTCCCATTCTATTTGTGTGTTGTGTTGCACCTCCTGCCTTTGAGCTCTTCCACATATGTAGTTTATGGCAGATTCATTGGCCTCATGGTTGTTTTGGGTTTTTTATCCCCCCATCTCAAATGAACTTATTTTCTAATGACTCCCAGTTCTGGACTGAGCTTGCAGACTCTTTCCAACTTTATTTTCCTTGCTGCACAAACCACCTTTGACATGAGCAGTTGCATTTTTTTGAGATCTCGTGCTCTCTTGGCTTCCATCATACTGTCTTCTTGCTTCTCCGTGGCTTCGTTGCTTGCCCTTTGAGGTAAGTTTGTGGGAGATGTAACGGAATATGAATTGGGGATTCAGTCTTATATCCTGATTCTCTCAAACTCGTACAACCATCTCATGTGTCAAAAACGTTTGGATGTTTAGAGATTTGTCGTTACGCAGTTTTAGCACTTGTGTAACCACGGTGCAACAGATCTCCTTTAACCCGAGAAGTAGCTTCTGAAAAGCTTCCTCATGTTGCCTTAAAATAACAAAGCTCTGCTGTAGTGAGACCAGACACAGACATCTCCCCAGAAATACGGGAAAATCAGGTCTCTATGGGAATAAACTAAATGAAGACTTTTTGGCACGGTCTATTTGGTTGTATTAGGACAAAGCGGAGTGTGTTTCTGTGATGCAAGAAATCACAGCTAGTCATCAGAGAAGACTTTTACTGACCTTCATTAAATGTTACAGGAATATAATGTTCCAAAATGCCTTGTGTAATATTTTTTTGGTAATATTTTTAACTTAGAGAAACGGTATCACAGAAGTTATTTAAAAAGTGATGTTGGTAGTTTATTGGAGATAACAAATTGAAACAGTTCTCATATTCTAACGTATAATACAAACTTCATATATTCATACACAATGTCAAAACACAATAAATATGATTCAAATCTCAATCTGGTTCAAAAGCAACTAAGCTGGTTTAAGAAGTTCTTGATGGAAAAACCTGAAAGGGTGTTTTGAGACAGACTAGTTCCTGATTCAGTGATTGCATTAAAGTTGTGACTGAATGATAGTTTTCTTAAAAAAGCAACTTTTTCTAAAAAAAAAAAAAGTGTAGTGCCTTATGGCATGGTGTGTTTATTAGACTAACAATCCTTTCATTTTTTTTTCCCCCCTATTGATCTTTGAGAGTGGGCAGACTTCTGTCCTATTGTTTTATCCCCTTCAGCTCCTATTGCCATGATTTCTGGTCAAAGGAGTTAAACCAATCTTGACGCTATTTATAGAAAGCTATTTAACACAGTTTTATTCCCTTCTAGATCTACAAGTTGCTACAGCGTTCCCACTATCATAAAAGGAAAAACCCTAAAAGCTGAATTTAGCTTTCCTGTGGTAAAATTCATGTTTACTTGAAAGCTAAGTTTGGGCCTTATGTCAATGATGTAAAAAAGGCAACAGATGAGTTTTTTACCTGACTGCGAATTAAATCTCAACTACAAAATTGGTTAAAATGGGTTTTTGTGACTTTGGTTCTTTGTCTTCCTGTTCGTTATCGATTTCTTTAGTGAGTTTTTCAGTAGTTTCATCTTGGGGTTTCCTCTGGATTGCAGCATCTCTCCCTGATACCAAGTCTTGCATTACCAAGTCCATCCCAGTTGTCTCCTTAGGCATCCTCTGCCACGTGCCTGCTGCAGTTGGCCATAAACTGTTAGTTGCCAGAATATCACCGTTGCTCCTGGGCCTGCGTTTTCCTTGCTGAGTTTTTTTGAGATACGACATTTTGTTTGCTACTATAACTGTTGACAGAAATAAGAAGGTGCAGATAAGCACAAGCACTGCTATTATAATGAAGCAAATCAGGATAAGAGACTTATTGTCTTCACATGTTTCTTTTGTCGTCGTACTCTTGGGTTTGCTGGTATTCCTGGGTCCTCCGGTAGCAGAAAGAGCACTTCTGGTGGGGGGAGATGTTGAATTTTGGGCCGTTGCGGAGGATGAGGGTTGCAGGGAGGTTGTCTGCCTTCCAGAAGCAGTCATTTTGCTGCTGAAACTGATGCTCAGAGGAGAACTTGTAGTGGCTTCTGTTAGGTTTTGGCTGATAGGATTCCAGGTTTCATTCATAACCCTAGGATGACTGGTGTGGTTTGCACTTGTTTGCGAACACAAAGAAAAGATGATCATGACAGGGAAGGTGAAAAGTATTTTACTGTGTCTCTTTGTCTTCATCTTCCTGCTTAGTCACCTGCAAAAATACAAAGTACGGTGCTAGTTTAGCGAATGCTAGTTCTTAGGGGTTTGAATTGGGGAATAGTAGGCAGCAACCTTTTTGATGAAAAAAAAAAAAAAAAAGTAACGACCTCATTTTTAGTGGGTGTGGGAGGACGAGTTCAAGTACTTCATGTTCTGAAAGAATAGACTGTCTTAAACCTCAAACTGTCAGAAATTCATAGGAAATCTATGAAGATACAGAACTGAAGCAAAAAGAGGAAAGTGTTTCCACTAACCGCTCTGCGATGTAGCGGCAGACTGTGGTAGCTCCTCCTCCTTAAAACTGCCCATGCTACAACTTCAAGTTCATCACTTCTGCTTTCACTCAGTGAAAGGAGAAACCCATGTAAGGTGTGCAGATTGCTGCTGCTTACCTTCTGGTGTTCCCCTGAACGTGGGAAATGGAACCGTGCTTGACAAGGTGGTCAAGTGAAAAACTGTAATCTGAAATGTTCCTGTAAGTGACAGCAGTAACTTTATTTGTTTGTATTTCTTCGCAAAGTGACCTGGAGTGTTTCATAAATGCATAGGAATATCTTTGTTCTCTAATTTTTCTGCTTTACTGTATAAAAATCTATTTATCACAAATGTCCTTCTCAAATATGCCACAGATTGCGACATTTTCCTTAAAACGCATGAGATAATTATGCAAATGATACTGCCATTAGTATTTCTGTTTGACATTTTGGGTAGTAGTCAGATTTGTACCTCCTTTTTCTCTGGAGGGCTGGAAACTGGTCTTTAGGTCAGACCGATGCTGAGATAACATCAGAATAGCAGTGACAAATCAGACAAGCAGCGAACCACTTCCACTGCTGCTGCGTCCAGTTTGCACGTGTGAGACACTTCCCGAGTTTAAGGCTTATTATCCCATCCAGCCTCTCTTTCACCTGTCTCTGTTAAGAGAACAAAACGTTTCCTTTAAACGGTACAGACTACATTTGGTTCAAATATAAATACTGTAGAAAACAACCGAAAGTAACAGCGCTGTTCTTATAAAGACATTTGTTCTTAAAGCTATTGCTTGAGAGGTAACAAAACATATCTGTACGTTTGTAGGATTAGGTAATTTTTGAAATATCCCAGACAATGTTTACTTTGATCGCAGTCAGAAGTTAGGATGCCTGACAAAGAGCTGAATATATTCACTCCCAAAAATCCGAGGGGTGAACGTGCCCGCCTTGCCAAGCCCAAGTGGCAGTACTTCGCACCGCCCGAGTCCTCTGGGGAGAGGAGGGAGGTGATGTGCCTGCTGTGTAAGCAGGGAACAAACTCGGGGGGTGTCTCCCCCCGTGAAAAAGGAGCAGCAGCAGATGGATGGATCTTCGACTTTGCAGTTCACCCATACCATAAAACTCTGAGATGAGTCCTTATTGTCGCGTTTGAGCTAGAATCAGCTATAGTAATCAGAATTATTATCTTTATAGAGTAAAGGTTGCCTTGTAGCATACTTTAAAAAGGAAAAAAGCAAAACCAGCAAAGCCCCCCCCCT